CAATCACGGAGAACCTGCAGGAACTGGTTACGAGATTTGTACCCGCCTGGCGAGCGGCGTCACGAAGAACATCTGGCCTGTGCTTGAAGCGAGAGAGACCTCAAATTCGGATTGCTGGCATTCACACCAGTCCCTGCGAAATGATGAGGCAGACAGGGGCAGTTAGTAGCAAGTGGCTCACCTTCTTGAGTAGTTGTAGGTCCATATGATTGCTAGTAGTTCGTCGGAGTCTGTCGCCTCCTCAGACTATCGTTGTTCTGGTCCCTGGATCGGGACAATACAGCTTTGAGTGGCATGATGGCGACCGTCGACCATCGCCCAAGCAACCAGCGGGCAGCGTCGGCAGAGGCCGGAAATTGGCGCCCATTCAGCGAAAGCTGACCAGCACTAGTGAATTGTGTTTGATTCGTCGACTTCATGATTGAATATAGCCTATCTGTTGGTGCAACATGTGTGCAGTGCTCTACCGAGTGATTTGTAAACAGGTCCTGCTGAATCAGAGGGTTCAGATGGCCATGGCTTCCCACTTGGTCAAGCATCTGGTAGTAATACGCGGAATGTCATACTGCCACTGTCAAGAGGATTTATCTTGTAATCTGAGCAGTGAAAGGCAGCTGCCGACTACAGACTTATGCTCTTTGTGTTTATTAGCTCCTTCCATCGAGGCAAAGGGGGTAATATTTTCGAAGAAATCGTGACGCCTATTTTAACATGCGGCCAATGACTAACCAGCAATACCGGCCAAGCGATAGAAATAACTCCGAGACAACGCATGGAACAACATATGAGAAGTGTGTTAACCACGGAAACAGGTCTCTGCTAGTCCGAGTCGGAGCGAAATCTCCAACGAACAAGCCGCAACTAGCGTCGCCGTACCAATACAGTCCTGCACTCCTATCTAATCATGCTTGTATACCAAAGATTACCGCGATGACGGCAGATGCCTCGACAATCCTCAGGTTCAGCGATACCCACAACAATGAATTAGTATAATTGAGCCCTGATAAGTGGAAACTTGATATACCGTGCATAACTCCGTTCGAATGTTCATGATAACAAAGCCATAGTCTCGACAGGTTGCTCGAATCGAAGATAGTACGAGCTGCGCCATTTCATTGCGACCGCTTCCCATGCCTTATTGGTCGATACGCCAGAAGGAGGCCTTGATTGTCATTTTGTTCGACAGCTGGCCACCGTTACTTCGTTGGGCGCACGGTCGTGATATCACGTAGGGGTAGTTCTTGACGACAAGACGGAAGCGGCGCAGGCAAAGTGCGCTTGCACCATAAGGTTCTTCGCATAGTCGCTTCCGTTGCCGTACAGTCTCCGGCCGACATATGAACGAGTGGGCGACATCTGGTCGATACATAAGGACTGCATCCCTCGGCACCAACTTGAAGGTTAGCATACTTCGACAAGCATGAACAACGCATGTAGCCTGCCTGTGGAAACCGAGCAACCAGCTCGACTTCATTGCCAGCTAGCTCAAGCGCAGGGTCGTTCATCGGTCTGAGATACAGTCTGAGATAGGACATGAGACGCTCACACCATGGTCAAAACCAGAATACGAAGATTGCTTGGACCGTCCTCCAGTTTGAACGTGATCTTCGACCCCTTGCATTTCACTAGGAGTCTAAGACGCGTTCTAAAGACGTGATATGTCCATCTAACTTCCCCTCCGGGGACCACTTAGATCTACAAATGAGTTCAGGACTTGTACCATGTACGAAAACCAAGGACTTGCCCACAGATGAGAACCTACATTCTTGAAATCTCTGGGAAAACTATTGTTATACATGAGGGCATCCGCTGAGTTTGATCCTTACTACGAAACAGGTACCCGTGTTCTTGAGGAAGGCGTGCTGGTTCGTATTCGAGGGCGGCACTCACACTTGTTCAATTCCCAAAGGCAGCTTTGTTCGCCAAACGATGGGAGACCGGGTGTTGACGTGGTCGACCTCGACCGATAGAAACCAGAAGCAGGTTGGTCGCATCGACGCATCTGGTCAAAGACGTACAATTTGAATATCGTGGCCTATCTGTTCCGGAACCCGCGAGACTCTGGTAGGATGAAGACAGACACCCGCTAGCGATCGACGCTCCGGCACCTCTACTCTGCCTGCAGTGGCTCGAATCATCTTGAACGCCAACTTCAAGCTGATTTTGGCCGAACATCGTCTACAACATTGCGGTTAGTTGACCCGCCACAATTAGGTTCTCAATAAAGGCTCACCCAACTGACTGGAAGGGGCGTCCTCCTTCGACTGCAATCCCGCTGACACTGCCCTATTAGCGAGAGTCGATGGTTTGCTGTCAATCTGTCACAGCCTGAGCCCACAGACGACGGGACCTCCGCCCGAACACAGGGCTGCGCTCCGACAATGACTACCTCGCGCCCGGGATGTCCTAAGATGAAAAGCGTCAAAACGCACGCGTCCAACACTGAAACGATAGAAGAGCGAGATAAAATAATCGAGCTACGCCCAAGACGGGCGACAGAACTGTCGCGCTTGGTGGATATAGGCTGTCCGCCTTCCCGTCTCGAACCTTCCAGCATGATACCTATGACAGCTCGACAAGCATTATGGGCTCTCTGGCATGGTACTGCCAGGACGAGCCACAGGAACGATAATTATTTGGCACATCCAGCACGCGAGGGTCTGGTAGCAGCGGCGCTTTGACCCTCTTGGTGCATGCGCCCGAGCCTTTGCCGCCACTCCACTTTAGAAGATTCCCTATATGTCCGTCTGCGGAAACGAAGCGATGACCGGTGGGGCCACACAGATCGCGGCAGGCGCGGCAGGAAGCCGCAGCATAGGCATCGTGCGTGCGATGGCAACA